AAATATGACATTAAACTATTTTTAAAAAGTTGAAATTTATAGTTAAAATTATTTAAATACAGAATTCAACAAAAAAATATTACATCATAATTAAGAAAAATAAAAATATTTTATTTTATTTTATTTAAATTTTAAAAATAACAAATATATTAAAATATAGAAATAAAATAAACTTCAATAATATTATTAAAATTTACTAGGTTAAGAAATAATATAATACAAGAATAATGGAGATATATGAGGAAAAGAAAGAGACAAAGAGGGGAATTTTTTACTAAAATAATATTTTTTTAAAAAAATTATCCAAAAACATTTGTTCCAATTTATTTACACCACTAGTACCTTTTACAGCCTTTTTAATTTATTTTTTTTTGTGTTTTGGACTTAGATTATGAGGTAAAATTGAATTCAGAACGGGTCATTATACTTTTAGAACGGGTCGTTCCAGATGTAAAAATAAAACATGATGAATGCAAGTAGAACGAGTCGTTCCAGATTCAAAATTAACACACGACGAGTGCAAGTAGATTGAGTCGTTCCAGATGAAAAAATTAACGCATGACCTAAACTCAAAATGAAAAAAATAATATTAAAACGCTACTCAGAATTCGGTTCTCCGAGAACGGTAAAAAATGCTACTAGTGTAAATAAATTAGAATAAATGCTTTTTGGGTAAATTTTTTTAAAAAAAATATTATTTCAGTAAAAAATTCGAAAGAGAAAAGAACAAGGAGTAAGAGTTAAAATAAGAGAATGAAAGAGAAACAGGAGAGAAAAAGATGTAAAGAAAGAGAGGAAAAAAGATATATAAGATATTACACTATTAATCAAAGTTTTGTATCAATTAGTTATACCTATGCGTGTTTTGTGATAATTTCATGAATAAATAGAAATTTTCTATATTGTAGAACTTTACGCAAATTAAGAAACATTAAAGACCCAAACTTAAAGCATTTTTCAACTTCATTATTTACGCGAGACTTTGAAAAAACTAAAAATTTCTTCTTATTTATTTAACCTCTCTTTTTTAAGGTTGTTTTTACCCATTTTTTCTCTTACTTAATCCTCTATATATCATGGTTTTCTTTAACTAGTTTTTTTTTTCTTTTTCTTTTTCGCAACAGATACATTTGCTAACATGACTTTTATTTATGCAATAATATTCTGTTTTATTATCAAGAAGTATATCTCCATCCAATATGAAATAATTGTTTATAAAAATTTGACTGATACTAAATAAATAGATATTTTTTCTCAACTTAGTTAGCAATATATAACTCTTCTAATTTATTTTTAACAAAATAATTTTTTATAAAATTTTTATAAACACAATAATTAATTAAATTAACATGATATTTTAATCTATAAGTAACATTGTTGAGATGTAAATAAAGTCCCTCATTCTTAAAATAAGAGAATGTACATGAATTTATATATATACAATTGTTTCTATTTGTTAGAGACCTTTTAGATAATGTTAAAAATAAAATCATAAAGACTTAGATTTAATATAGACAATAATTTACTAATATAGATATATGTGTATATGTAAAATGTCCAAATGCAAAATATATATATATATATATATATATAT